CACACACACACACACACACACACACACACACACACACACACACACACGCCTGGCACAAGTCAGAATCTGCAGGGAATCAACCCTGCGACCCTATTTCCCAGCTGCTGGGGTTGGCTCTCCCTTCTTGGATGGGTCCCCTGTATTGATAGCATTCAAGTATCTTGTGCTCATGAAAAAGTCAAGGAACCAAAATGGGCTCTGGTCCCAACAGACTTCCCGTTCAACTTTTGTGCCAATCTGCAGACTTCCCCTTCTCTCCACATTCAGCTGAAGCTGGAAGTCCAAGCACAACAGAGGCCCGGCTTATTCTTACAAAGCGTTTATCCACCTGACATTGTAATTGTATGAAAGGACCAGACTATATGTAGAAGACACAGCCATGAACTCCTGTGAGACACTCATCCTAACCTACCTCGCCAAGAGCAATAGAGTTAATTCCAGACTCCCTTGACCTGACACTGGAGTCACACAGGGCAGTTTTAAAGACTTGTGCTGGCGATGTTTAAGAGACATGTTTTTTTTATTTAATTATTTTTATTTTTATTAACTACAGTTTATTCACTTTGTATCCCCCTGTACCTCCCTCCCTTCTCCCCTCCCAATCCCACCCTCCCTCTTCCCCACCTGTGTCCCTCTTACAGTCCACTGATAGGGGACCTCCTCTCCTTCCCTCTGATCCTAGTCTATCAGGTCTCATCAGGAGTGGCTGCATTGTCTTCTTCTGTGGCCTGGCCTGGTAAGGCTGCTCCTCCCTCAGGGGACAGTGATCAAAGAGCAGGCTGATCAGTTCCTGTCAGAGACAGTCCCTGTCCCCATTACTATGGAACCCACTTGGATACTGAACTGCCATAGGCTATGTCTGTGCAGGGTTTCCAGGCCATCTCCATGAGTGGTCCTCAGCTGGAGTATCAGTCTCAGAAAGACCCCTGTGCCCAGACTTTTTGGATCTGTTGCTCTCCTTATGGAGCTCCTGTCTCCTCCAGGTCTTACTATCTCCCACTTCTTTTCATAAGATTCCCTGCACTCAGCCCAAAGTTTGGCTCTGAGTCTCGGCATCTGCCTTGATACCCTTCAGGGTAGAGCCTTTCAGAGGCCCTCTGTGGTAGGCTTCTGTCCTGGAGACATATTTTTGTTGTGCTTCTTCCTCCCAAGTTGTGGCTCTCATGTTTGACTCTCTGTTTTCTGCACTTACAGGGTCCCTTGGCAGTACACCAGCCAGAAGAGTGAAAGCTGTCTCCACAGCTTTCTCTGGTGAGGATGAACAAATGTCTACGCCTCCTTCACAGAGCACCACCAACAAACTGCGGCCCACTGACATCAAGCTTGGGGGACCAAGGAGTTTATCAGACTCCAAGGAGTTACAGAGCCTGGGCGAGGGGTCACCAGCCTCACCACTGCAAATTTCTACCCCAGCGTGGATGACTTCTCCTAACTATAGAAATGGACACCCCTTCAGCTACTCTTCAACAGTCTGCTACTCTAGCACCCCCAGAGACCACATGGCATTTTGGCAGGTTGCAAGGGGGAGCAGACAGAACTGAAATGAGAACCTAATGACTCTCCCTGTTCCGTCCTTCTATAAGGCAACATCAAAAAAAAAAAAAAAAAAAAAAAAAAAAAAAAAAAAAAAGGCCTGATCTCTAGGTCAGGGGTGGGAGGTTGCAAGTTCTCATAGTTGGTGGCTGTTATGCTCTCGGGAGGGCGCTCTACAATACACATTGACAGAATCTAATTGAACAGCTGTCTGGAAGGGAGCGAGAGCTTGAACTGAGCTGGAGATACCATGGCCCAGGAGCTGGGCACTAGGTTGAAGATCATGGAGCATCCTGGGGGGGGGGGGTCTGTTTTCTGCCAGAGGCACCTTGATGACTAACACACATGTTGAGGGGGGAAACACGTGTCTTAACTTCCTGTTGCTCTGATAAAGACCAGAACCAGAAGCAACTGGGGGAGGAAATGGTTTATTTCACCTTTTAGGTTGTGGTCCATCACAGAGGGGAGTCCAGGCAGGAGTCTGGAGGCAGGAACTGAGGCAGAGACCATGGAGACACACTGCTTATGGGCTCGTAGCTTCCCCTGGCTTCCTCAGTTTGGTTCCTTACACAACCCAAGACACCTGCCCAGGGGTGGCACCATGCACAGTGGGATACGCCCTTCCATGCCAATCATTAATCAAGAAAGTGTCTCTCCTATAGGCCGAGCTGATGATGGCATTTTCTCACTTGTGGCCCCTTCTTCTCAGATGACTCTAGCTTGTATCAGGTTGACCAAAAACTAAGCAACACACAAGCACTCAGAGGGACATAGGGACATGGGGCCTTATCTGGATGCCTTATCCAGGCATCCAGAAGTGAATGAAGAAGTGTCTTCAAGAGGCCATGTGGGCCAGACAGGGTTCCACACACCCATAATCACAGCACTCGAAAGTGAAGGCAGGAGAAGGGGTTTAACATCGTAGTTATAGTCAGAGCTAACAAAGCTAGTGAGACTATCTCAAAACAAAGAGCCACTTGATGGCCTAGGCATTGAAGACTCATGGGATCTTGCATCTCTTCCCTCCCCCACATGAAGTTCCCGCAGGGCCAGCTGAGCTTTCATTGGGAAGATACTGCTACTAATGCCTTCTTGGAACCCACCACTGTTGCATGGTCTACCCCACGAGTTGACAAGCAGCAGTTCCTGAGAAACAGGCGTTAACCAACGTGCTGATTCACAGGGTCCCACCAGAGTGTAGTTTCACTTAAGTTTGCTCAAGAGTTGTCATTTCACCTTTTCAGAACAAAATAATTTTCCCGGTACTTCTTACCAAGCAGAAGAGGTGCTGAGATGTCTACTAGCCTGTAAACTATTTCTGTATACACACACACACACACACACACACACACACACACACACACTCCAATACCCCATGGAGACTCTGCCAAAGAAGAGCTCTCTTATCGTGCAAGCTCAGCTTTGCTAGCACTGGTACTCGTACTAGAAGTAGCTGGTTTGAGGTTCTGAGAGGCTGCAGTCAACCATCGAGATTGACCTTCATTTTAGCTTTGCTCAGTGGCTTTCGAAGTATAAAGAAAACCATAAGAATTTCCAAGAGGGTTCTATGCAGATAAGTGCATACATGCGCAACTTAAAGATCGCCATGAATCACCTTGAGGTTGCTGTCTTTAGGATATCTGCCCTGCACACAGAACGTTATCAGCAGTTTATGAGAGCCCCACAGAATGTTAGCGCCAGGAGTAGCCTTAAATACTCAGCACCGACCTGTGGACCACTTACATTAACATCACCTGACGTGAAGCTTCAACACTCTTTGCTCTTTGGTCTCACATCTCATTAACTGAGTCGGAACCTCTGGAGAGGGTGCTGGTCAATACTCTCACAAAATAGCAGGACAGTGCAGGCACCCCTCTCCCCATCCTCTGCCATCAGACTCGAGGATCACTGTTCTATTCCAACCACCTCATTTAGAAGAGGAAGAAGGCTTTTGAGCTGTGTGGATTTGACATCGCAATCAGAGCACATAGAGCTGCAGCTGCGAAAACTGTCTTCTTGTGTCTGAGATCCTGGACAAGAAGGGCTAACGATACGATCAAAATACAACCTCACCATGGCCTCACTGTCTCTTGAGTGTGTGTGTGTGTGGGGGGGTGAATTTGGCTAAGGATCATGATAGAATGTCTAGGGTTGAAGAATGCATGTTGAGGCTTTTGGCATTTCGGACAGTAAATAGTCCATTGTCACCCCTAACAACCAGGTCCCCTGCTTTGTTACCTAACTTTATTCTCTTGAAGACAGTCTCTGACTGAACCTGGAGCTTTGTGGGTGGCTAGCAAACCCCACAGTCATCCTGCTTCTGCCCCTCACAGAGCTGGGGGGCCCATGGCCACGCTCAGCTTTAAAAAAGAAAATGTGTGTGTATGTGTGCTGCGCTCATACGTGGTGCAGGACTCCAGAAGAGGGCACTGGGTCCTCTGGAACTAGAACTGTAGACAGGCGTGAGCTGCCACGTGGGTGCTGGAAGTCAAAGACGTGTCCTCTGAAGAGCCAGTGCTCTTAACTGCTGAACCATCTCTCTTGCCCACATACCCAGATTTGTATGTGGACGCTGAGGATTTGAAGTCAGTCCCCACATTTAAGCAGTAGACACTCTCATCCACACTGCTACCTCCTTAGCCTAAACTAACTTTTAAAATGAAATCATGGTCCTCTGTGCTCTGCAGGATCCTTTTCCTGTGGGTCTCTTCTCTAGCTCTCTGAGTGGCTCTTGTCACTCAAAGATCTACAGGTCATAAGCCAAGGGTCACTAGGTGTTTTTCTTGAGGTGGAGTCATATTTCTTTCTTGCTTGTGCTCCTCCCAGTCATGCTTTGTCTAGTCTTGTCCTCTTCCCTCAACAGCCCCATCATCCAACTGTGTGCTCCACAGGGTGATTCATGTGGTGGTAGGAGACCAGGGTTTGAATCCCAACTCTGCAGAGCAATATCTGTGAATGTATTGTGAAGTTCTTTAACCTCTCTGTGGCTCCATTCTCTCATCTCAGCCGGGTATAGTGGCACACTTATAATCCAAGACTGGGAGGAGGAGGAAGAATTCTAGATTGCAAGAGACGAGATCTTATGTGGCTAGCGGGCAATCCTAGAGAGGTGAACCTGCAGACAACAGGGTCCCCAGAGCATCTAACACTTTCAGGAAGACAGCTGAGAACTTTAGAGTGGCCGCCTTCCCAAAGATAAGTAGAGAAAAGGTCTGGGGGGTACTAAGATGGGGACCAGGGTTGGTCTAGAAATCTAAAACAGTGTCCACTCTAGTAGATGAAGGGACAATTAAAACATTTACAATTATAAACCACAGAGAAAATCTCTCAACCAACTCAAGCTCAAATAGAGTATACAGAAGGAAAGCCAACT